TCATTGTTGTTTGGTGGGCCCAGGCTGGGGATTCAAACCCGCCACCTTAGGTGTATGTGGCTGGCGCCTTAGCTGCTTGAGCCACAGGCACCCAGACTTCACTGGAGTTCCTAAGGAAACTGACAACACAGTGATAGTTTCTAATGGTACAATAATTATACTGAATGTCCAGAAACACTCAGGCTGAGCTGAGTTAGAGGATATATGAAAGTATATTTATTTCCCACCCTATTCCAAAACATGGGATGTTAGTTGGAAAGGGACCATAGAGACATTTTTATATAATATTATCATAATAATTGACATTTATTATGAGCTTGCTATATACTGTTTTAAGCATTTATACATAATTTATATATGTCTTAGTACACTTATATCATTTAATCTTAACAATAATCCATTTGGCATATAAAACATCAAGGCACAGAAAGATTAATGTAGATCACAGGGTTGGTAATTATTGGATCTGGGCTTCAAGCCCAAGCAGTATACTACAGGCCTAGGTAATTAAAATGAACAGAGGTTAAGTAAATTACCTAACATCACTAAATAATAGATGTGGAAGCATTAAAAAATATTTTATGGTGAAATATTGGTCTTTATGGGTAAAGAACGTAAGATATATGAACTAGAAATTTCAGGAGAAAAGATAAAGATACTGAGGAAGAAGGAAGAAATTGGGAATTTATTTTATAATTTAAGATATTTATAATCACAATTCATAGAATTTTTATGAAAAAGTAAGACAAATATTTATTATAGCAAGCTGCTGAAAATCTGCCTTCTGCTAATTATAAGTACTTTTGAGGACAGAAATGATGATTATTTTGATTTCCTCACAAGGTTAAGCATAGAGCCTACAAATAATAGATGCTTAATGTATGATTACTGAATTAATGCATAAATTCCTAGAAATTGTAAAAATATACATTCTATTCTGTTCTTTTAGTTAGGCTTCTCAAGGCCTGTTTCATGTCCTTATTCCTAAGGCTGTAGATGAAAGGATTCAGCATGGGGGTGACTATTGTATAGATGACAGTGACCACACGATCCTTTGTCACTGAGTAGGTGGATGAGGGACGAATGTATACCGATATTATGGTCCCATAGAATAGTGCCACGACTGTGAGGTGGGATCCACAGGTAGAGAAGACTTTGTACCTTCCTCCCCCTGAGGGAAGCCTCAGGACAGCACGAGTGATGTAGAAATAAGAGATAATAATGAAGATAAAGGGACTCATGATGACAAAGGAGCCCTCTGTGAAGGCCAGAAGCTCATTGGCAGAGGTGTCAGAGCAGGAGAGCATCAGCAGCGGCTGGACATCACAAAAGAAGTGGTGGATGATGTTGGGCCCACAGAAGGAGAGGTGGGCCATGAGAATTGTGTGGGTGAGTGAGTGCAGGTGGGACACTGTCCAGGAGGCCATCACCAGTAGGAGACAGCGCCTGCGGCTCATGGTAGTGGCATAACGCAGTGGGTTACAGATGGCCACATAGCGGTCCATGGCCATGGCAGCCAGTAGGAAGCTGTCAGTGATCCCAAAGGCCACAAAAAAATACATCTGTGTGAGACACTGGGCAAAGAGAATGGTCTTTCTCTGAGTCAGCATGTTCACTAACATTTGTGGCACGATGACAGTGGTAAAGCAGATGTCCACCAGGGACAGGTTGGAGAGGAAGAAGTACATGGGAGTGTGGAGGCGGGCATTCTCCCAGATGGCTGCAATGATAACCAAGTTTCCAACCACATTGACCAGGTACATGGCCAGGAAGCTGGCAAAGAGCCAGACCTGCTGTTTGGGATTAGTGGTCAGTCCCAGAAGAAGGAATTCAGTCATATGGCTCTGGTTCCTCCTTGACATTGCTGTCCTGCAAATAAAAAATATGAAGGGATGTTTGGCATGTATCCTGGCTGGAGTATGCAAACTGGTAGAGGGGGATACCTTATAAACTATTCTAGCTTGTGCACTGTATAAGGGTGGCCATTCATGTAGACTGTATATAATATATGCATGTAATATAACTTCATAGGTGTGTTGTTGACACACCTTGATTTCAATATTAACTTTGCAACTGATTTTGTGAAGTTGAATGAGGCACTTCTTGTTTTTTGTTCAAAAGACAAAACTTATACAAATTCTTAGGGTATTCTGAGGATAAATGATAAAGATTATAGCAAAGGTGCTTAGAAAGTAATCCTTTTTCTTAATTTCCAAAGGTGGTGTAAATATGACACGTCTTTTTTCTCTATCTAGTCTTAGTTGCTCTTCCTTTGTTGAGTGTTACCTTCTACCTGATGCTTTTGGCTATAATTTTTCTCTTTATTTTCCCACTGTATAAGAAAAGGGGGACATATTAAGTTTTCCCTATAGAAATCACATGAAGACTATACAGACTGTATTCCTGGGGTCGAACTTGTCTTAAAAAAACATACTTTTGTAATGCTTTTAGGAGTTTAATTGTGGGAAGAAAATTATAGGAATAGCTGGGAGACAAAATTTGACGTGTCCCTCGTGGTTTATAACTGTCTTGGTGGGTGGGAGGTAAAAAGCTTTTTCTGTTAGCCTGTTTACCCAACATTTGGCTTGATGCTTCAGGCAGGTAGGTGGCATTAAGGAAGAGTCTCTCTTTCTCTTCCTGATGCCACCTATCTGCTGGGACTAATGTGGGTGCTCTTACAGGTAAGAAGAGTCCAAGGGGTGTAGTGAGGGAAATGGAAATGTGAGAAGATGTAACATTATAGCAAAAACAAAAGAAAACAAAAGAAAAGAAAAGAAAAAAAAAACACTGAGAGATATGAATAGGAAGGCACCGAGGTTCAAGAATTGGTCCCTTTTCCTCACCAAAGGCAAGAACCAAGGAGAATAATCAAAGGTGCCAGTCATTAGTGATTAGGGCAGGAATTGAGGTGCTAATCACTTATCTACCAATATAGGGACTTGGTTCAAAAGGAGAAAGAAATAAAATCTACCAGGGTATAAAATTAGAACAATCTCACTTTCAACTGGCTTGAAAGTGAGACCACTGAGAACAGAACATTACTCTTCATGTCTATCCCACCTAGGAACAAGATTGGCTTTAGAAAAACAACAACAAAAAAACACCATAAAAGATAGCCTGTCAATAGTGGTTAAGTGGCTCCCAGTAAATGAGGGTAGAGTTAGGGCTACAGAGTTTGAATTAGGGAAAGTCTACATTCCATACTGATTGTGTACTCATAATCTTTATGGTACTTGTTATAATGAATCAGAAGCAACTATAAGTACTAATGTGCCTCTAATGCTCAGTGATCTTGAATGAAACTCACTGCCCTGATTCATACTATCAGTGTGGTTTTGAGAAAATTATTTGAACTTTAAAATTTAGTTTCCTCATTTGGAAGTCAGAAATAATAATTTTAACTGCTTCACTGGGTAGTTATGGAGATTAAAAAATCCAGTACACTACCTCTTGGGGTAGTGACTATGACAGATAAGCCTAGAATAAATGTTAGCTATTATTATATTTTATATAACAAAACTAGTTTATGGATTTGTATATGTAAGAGGTTGCCTATTGTATATTTGAATAATTTTAAGGTGAACATATAATTATGCTTAAAGTTTTTCTGTGAAAATTGCAGACTAGTAGGGTTGTAATAATCTTGAACAAACTACAGAAATGGAAAGCATAGATTTCAGGGAAAACAGAAAAAAAATACGAGAATCCCCTGGAGAATTGAAATCTGTCTAACTTGTATGAGTTTCTACGCGGGGGTTTTTGTGTGTTTGAGTCTGAATTCAGATAAAGGGTAATTGGGAGCATCTGTCAAAGAATGTATTAGAGAAAATTTCTGACTTTTTCTACCCACATCATTATGTTAGGACAATCATTGCTAATTCTTCACTATAGAATTTGGCAGCAGCAGCCTAGGTTAACAGTGTCAGCACCCCTAGAGATGATGCATTACAACCTAGGAAGCTTCCTTTTAACATGGATACTTCTCCTTGAATGTGTATAGGGAACCTTCTGCCTTTTAGTTGTCTTAAATAGCAGAAGAAAGAATCCCATAGTCTTAATAAGACTTGAGCCCAGTTTGGAGAATTGTCTGGAATTCACATGGCTCCATTAATCCAGGGTAGAAACACATGTTATGCACTTCCACCCTCCCCAAAGACTTAAGCTGCTACATCACAGGATCATCTTGAAATCTGAGCCTGAGCTGTTAGTGTGTCCTTCTCTGGTTGCATAGCCATTGTGTCTTTGTGCAAGCCAGTTCCAGAGTTTAATGAACCCACCTTCAGCAAATACGCACCACCACTGACAAAACCTCCAGCAACTTAGGTCAATGAAACAATTGCAGACATTGCCAATATGGATTATAGATGATAAAATTGTGTGAAGCCTATATTACTGTGTTAACCCCAAACCAAAATCAATACACCTTACTCAGTAAGTACCTAGGTTCCCTTCCAAGGCTACTCTGGAAAATTGGAAGATGTTCATGACTATTCCATCAGATTCACAGATATCAATGTAGGAACACAACAAATATGAAAGAGCAAGGAAACATGACACATGTAAAGGAAAACAATTCTGTAGTAACCAATCCTAAAGAAAATGTAGGAAATGCAAGAAAAGAAATTGAAAATAATGATCTTGCTGTTCTCTCTGATATCTCATTGAATTCAATGAAAAATATTCAAATAAATTTACATATACATTTATATACATAATATATATTATATAAATATAATCCTGGAACAGTCGGGTATATAAAGCAAATATTAATAGATATAATGGGGGAAATAGGCTTCAATACAATAATAGTTGGGAACTTCAACATTCCACTCTCAGGATTGAGATTGATCATCTAGACAGAAATCAAAATGAAACATTGGATTTAACTGATATTTAAAGAAAATTTTACACAACAGCTATAGAATTCATGTTCCTTCATCAGCACACAGAACATCATTTAGGACTGCCCATATATATGCTAGGCCACAATACCTACGTCTCTATAGTGGAAAGGAGTAAGTCAAGTTTTCTATGTCTGCATATAATCTGATATTATATACAGAAAAAACCTTAAGATACCACTAGAAACTCTTAGAATGGCTAAACAAAATCAGTAAAATTGCAGGATATACAATCAATACCAAAAATCCATAGTATTTCTGTACTTCAATAATGAACTAGCTAAAAAAGAAATAAGGAAAGAAATCCCATTAACAAAAGTGATAAAAATACTTAGGAATATATTTTTATTCAAGGAGGTAAAAGATCTCTATTAATCACTAGTGAAAGAAATTGAAGAGGATACCCCCCCAAAGGAAAGGCATTCTATGACCATGGATCAGAAGAATTAATATTGTTAAAATGACTGTACTACTCAAAGCGACCTACAGATTCAACACAATCCCTATCAAAACACAAAGGAAATGGAAATAGAAAAAACAATACTAAATTTCACTGGAACAATGAAGGCTCCAAATAGCCAAAGAAATCCTAAGCAAAAGCACAAAGTTGGAGATAAAACATCACCTGACTTCAAAATATACTATAGTACTATAGTAACCAAAATGGCATGGTGCTGTCATAAAAAAAGACACCCACAAACCAATGGAACAGAATAGACAACCCAGAAATAAATCCACATTTATAGCCAGCCAACTGATTTTTGACAAAGATCCAAGAACATGGGAAAAAGGATAGTCTCTTCAAAAAAAATTACACTGGAAAAACTGGATATTCACATGGAGAAGAATGAAACTAGATCCCTATCTCTCACCATATGTAAAAGCCAACTCTGAACAGATTAAAGGCTTAAAAGTCAGACCTGAAATTTTAAATCTGCTAGAAGTAAATATAGGGGACACACTCCAAGCCATTGGTCTAGGCAAAGATTTTATGGCTAAGATCGCAAAAGGACAGGCAATAAAAATAAAGATAGAAAAATAGGACTCTATTAAACTAAGAAGCTTCTTCATAGCCGAGGAAATAATCAACAGAGTTAACAGACAAGTTACTGAATGGGAGAAGATATTTCCAAACTATTCATCTTACAAAGTACTAATAATCCAAATGTAAAAGGATCTGAACACCACAAAACCAAAATATCTCCCTACTATTCTTACAAGTGGAAGAACTCAGATGTTTTTATTTTTTAATTTTCTATTTATTATTATTATTATTTTATTTCAGATTAATATGAGGGAAACTCAGATGTTTTTAATTGAAAGAGCAAGAGGTGGAAAGATAACATGGAATAGGTAGCAGAACATAAACTGAATGACAGAAATAAATACAGTTAAAGGAAAATTTGGTAAAGCAAAAAAGAAAGAGGAAAAAATCAGGTTTCAGGAAGTTATTTTATAAAACAATAAACAATGTAATGTAGTAAAGAGAAAAATGGGATGAAGTTACTAAAGATAAAAAATGAGCAAGGAGGTATATTTTAGGCAAGACAGTAATCAAAAACCTAAGGCCATGAGATAACAAAATTTATGTTAAAATTCAAGAAAATATTTGACACATTTGTT